ACTATATAGTTAGAATAAGGAACCCCCAAAATGGTATTGGTAATGATTTAGGCCCCTGTTATTATAGTAATGAAAAAAGAACCCCCAAAATAGTATTGGTAATGATTTAGGTTGCCGAAGCTTAGCATCCCCCCTGAGGCCGGAGAATGAGGTCAGCAAAGGCAATGCCACGGTCACCCCTCGCCAGAACGAAGACACCAAGGATGCTTCACAAGCTATTATAATAGCAGATAGCACGCACGTGTGAATAGAGATACAGAGACCACGGCGACTGCTGCTGCTGCTGCTGCTGCTGCTGCTGCTGCTGCTGCTGCTGCTGCTGCTGGTGGTGGTGCTGCTGCTGCTGCTGCTGCTGCTGCTGCTGCTGCTGCTGCTGCTGCTTCTGCTCCAGCACCTGCTATTACTAGCGCCAGTAGTAGCACAGCTACTCAGTATCAGTACTTACTACGAACACTAGAAGTACTGGCAGCGCTAGTACGAATTCTACCGCTACAGAGTGCGTCCTTGGAGTTGTGCAGATTCCACCAGAGGACGCCCATCAGAAGCACAGCCACGACGAGAATGACCCCGTGGCGCGCCTAGCAGTGAGAGAAGTCAAAGGCGACCTCAAACCCCAAACCTGAACCCGAAACCCTCTACCCTAACTAAAACTACCAGACATAAAACCTATAGCCTAAACCCTAAACCCTAAAGCCCTAAACCGTAACTACCCGATATTAAACCTATACCCTGTGGACCCTATGCCCTCCCTAAGCCGCAAGAAAATCAGATGCCCAGACCCATGGAAGGATCTAAAAAGTAGATCCCCGAATTTGGGACCCTAACTACTAAAGGGTTCAATTTTGTGGGAACCCCTTTAAGGGATCTACTTTTTGGGTCCTCCCTAAACACTAAACCCCAAACTTTTAAGGGATCTACTTTTTGGATCCTCCCTAAACCCTGAACCCTAAACCCCAAACTTTTGAGGGATCTCCTTGTTGGATCCTCCCAAAGGTCTGAGTGTGGAGGAAGCCTTTTAAGGGATCTACTTTTTGGATCCTCCCGGGGTCTG